GCCAGATCAAACAGTTCCCCTTCATCCACTATACAAAATATGTGACGTCATAAATTTGAGGGTTTAATTATATTTTCCTTCACTATCAGTTCCTGCTCTAATTAGGCTGCGTGAAGGTAAACCATTGGGCGCAGCTGGCATGTGCATGTTTGTCAGCACTTTAACACCCTTATTTATGACGTGTTAACATATTTAAACCATTGTTAACACATTCAACTGATTTGCCAATAACATGTTAACACTTTTACAGCTGGAAGCAACCAATTTACCTGTGATTTAGGCTGAGACCAGATCACTTCATCAGTTCATGTTTTAATCACATTGTAAAACTGTGCAAATAGTGATGTTTTGTTTTTGTCTGCTTTTCAGGGCTATTTTAACATATGACTGTATGTTTATATCCTGTTGATTAAACAGTAACCTGTTAAAACTGAGACACCACACCAGTTTTTAATGACCTATATTTAATTTGCTGTAAAGCTAAACAAGTACAGAAGCCATGTGACCAAAACATACACATTTATCAGACCCTGTGTTGAAAGGAAATAGCTAGGACCTACAAGGTATCTGAGAACTATGGAAATAAGTTCCAAGTTGAAGACTCTGTGTGGACTCTGTTTGTGAGCCAGTTAGGCTAATTTCTTAACATTTGCAAAAACCACCAGAGAAAATCATCAATCTTCTGGAGCAGCCATCCGCTCGGCAATAGAAATTAAGCAAAGTAAATACATTTATTCATACTGTCTTTATATATGGCTTCCAGGCTAGCACCCTGTCCTCATTTACCAAAAGACAGCTATCCTAAATCAAGTTCAAGTCACATATTCCCCTTCCAACAGAATCCAAATGCTTAGCTCCTAAAGTTTCGATACTTGAGCTTCAGCTAAAATTCAGCCCTTCAGTATTTTGACAGGTTGTGTTTTTGCACTTTTTAATTTGCCAACCACATCCTTGTTTATTATCACACTGTTGCTCTTGTTTGACCATATGACACATCCTAACTCATTCAAGAAAGTTTTCCTAGATCTCAAAGCATTTTCTACACTGAGGGACCATTATGGCACAAAGAGCGATGAGTTCATAAAATGCCTTCCAGTCACCTGTGATTAGACCCCATTTCAGCTCAAAGGACAAAAACATAACAGCAGCATCAGCCTTTTTTGGCTATTCCATTTCCAAGTCGTCGAGTGCATCATTTTGCATGCAAAATCAACACACCCATGGCAGTCAGTGACAGTTTAATCACATTTCATTTCAGTGGGTAACTTACATAATAAGTAGTTTAATAATGTGGGCAGTAGAGTTCTGTATCAGTGCACATGTACACTGTACTGCATTTTATCATGCCCAAAAATGGTCAAACAAAATGTCAGCAACTGCCATCAGAGTGTAACAGGCTCCCATTTTACAGCTGTACCTGGAACAGAAATCATGCTGTTCTGTAATGAAACTCTAAAACTGTCCTGTAAGTGTCACAGAAAAACCAAAACAGCAGCTAAAGTGCTGCTGTATTCAGATTGGCCCTCTGGGTACTGGTAATTTATGGTCAGACAACTGTGGGCATACTTTGGCTGAATCAGGCTAAACAAATACAACACCTGCAAAGCCTAACTTAATGATTATACTGTACTAAATGGAGCAGACGTCACATTAGGGAACTTTTTAATTCTAACAGTGGAAGGCACCAAATCTACTGTAACTTCTGCCAACAGTGCACTGACACTGTAAACCGGTTACACCTCTACTGACTTGTGAGGGACTCTAATACAATGCGCTGTCAAGAGCGGCCTGGTTTGTGCAGCAGCAGTCCTGGCAGTGAGCACGTCTGCTCACTGTGTTGGCAGGTGTGGAGAGTGCAAAGCCTGGTGTGTGTGTGTCACGTCACACTCAGCTCATCTGTCAATGTAGTGGATTATTTCTTGAGAGACCAGAATTGGCTGCCCAGAATCAGGCCACCATCAATCTTGATCCGGACAAGCAGGATGCAGGGGAGGCTGAGTGAAGCAGAGGCTCATGGGAGAGTGGTGTCGCTTCCTGAGCAGGTGACAAAGCAGTGGAGCAGGAAGGCAACTCGTTACTCAATCTCCACCTCAGCGGTGACTATGCCAATTTGTCAGGGAAACATTTGAAAAAAATAAGTATATGCAATCTTGAAACTTTATTTCCACAGTCACTCTTGTTTTTTGGGGCTTTTTTTTTTTTGGTTTGCACTAGCAGTTCACTGTGGCAGGACCCAGATAAGCTGATTTCTCAAACATCGTTTGATGCTTCACCAGGCTGGAGGATTACATCTGTACCTAGCTCAACATGACCTTCACTTCTCTTCCTCTGACACCCATGCAGGCTGTGGAGCCTGTCTGTGTGCCTTCATCCATGAGGGATGGTTTGTGAGTGTTGTACCACTCAGTTGGCCGGGCTGCATGCCAAGATCCACATAAAATTATTTCAGGAAATGATTTCTTACAAAATGCCAAACCCCCATTTCCCTTCAAGACTTACTTTATGACTGTCCAGATAACAATACAACAGCATAGTGTTCACCTAGTAACTTGTCATCAGGACTTTTTAAAGATAATGAATCAGTAATCTCAGCACTGGAGGAATGAATCAATGAAGTCTAAGATAAAACCCTGTTTCTATTCATTTTTAAAGGCCAAAAGAAAATTTAAATCCTTTATTTCACACGCTTTACAAACATTTTATAACTTGGAGTAATTGATGTAATGGCAACAAATTAAGTTCAGAAACAGAAGCATTATTTGATTAGGGAATACAGCAAAGCATGAAAGCCAATGGATTGTTCAAGGCAAGTCATCTTTTTCTCTCCACGTCCTACAGCGCCGTTCTGTATCTATTTATATCTGAGGCTCTGGCCTCAATGAAACCAGAGAGCTTCTCAAATTATAAAATCAATTTTAATTCAAATATTTATCATAGCATTTCAGTTCTGAGAGAGCTGCTCTGGTTATATCGGTTAACACCACTCCACAGTTGAATAAGATTGATGTAAGCTTAATCCCCTTAAAAAAAACATGATGTATACAGTAGTAAATTGTACAGTTGCTGAGCAGCAGGAAAAAATGTTTTCTCTGAGTGCATAGATGCAATAGACCATCATCCCTGGGACGTCTGCTGATTAGGATGGTAAAATATCTTAACATATCCTCAGATTATGATTGCCAGCACCAATTATGGCTGTCATACATCACAGTTTGTTTAATTTTAAGTTTTCCAGAAAGTACGTGTGCTAAAATAACACTGTAACACACTCAGTGTGAATGCTGTTATATTGAATAACATCTCTCTTTTGATTATCTCTCAGTAACGTTATCTAAAATTGAATAGCCCATCTTAAATCAGTCCAATAGCATAAATGAAATCTGAGACTTTAGACGATCAAATTAACAGAGTGTGTGTGTTTATCATTCATCTCCTGCATCCTCACAGACTTGATTTGTCCTCTGCACAGCTCCACTATCCTCAGAGGTCCCATGAAAATGTCACACCATAATGGCCTTAGTGACAAAATGGTGTGTGAATATGCAAGCATGCACATGTCCATACCCTGCTTAGTGTTGTATGCAGGAAGTGTGTGATGAGAAACCTTCCAGAGTACTCTCAGCCAACACCATATTTTTGCTGGATGATTCTTCTAGAGCTACGCCAGCGGTGGTAGTTTTGGGGTCAGGGGTGTGGGGAGTGCTATTTTTTTCCAACTTCTTCCCCTTTGGGATTACTGCATTATTCAAAAGACACTTACTGAGCCTTGCACTTCCTTGTACATCGCTGGCACCAAGCTCGACTCGCCAGCCAGTCAAAAAAAGAAAAAAGAAAAAACAACAGTAAAGCTGGAAGCCAGCCTTTAAAAATTCATTCCAAGCTCTCTGTCACTCAGCCTTTACCCTCTTGTTCCAATTAATGGGACCAGGATACTCTGAGAACTTTCTCTCTATCTTTGCTGGGATTTTCATGTGTCAGCTGTTCCACAGCAAAAGTAAGCCAATTCTCCGACATGCTGCTTAAAGTCACCGATGTTCAACACAAGTATGGAGAATTCAATGCTGGATTTTTTTTCCTCTTGCTGTGCTTCACTTGCTGTCTTTTTGCTTGGCAATGCAACACACCCAAACAGTACCAAGCAGAAGATATTATCAATGTTTAACAGCCGCTTGGCTTCCAGAGACAGCCCCACTCTGCACAAGGGTTCAGCATGCACTCATTCATTGCTAAAAGCTTAAAGGAAGCCTTTGCTTTGCTCTAAAAAACTATTGCCTCCACTGTAACACTCCCATATATACCATAAGCAATGCTCATAAGCGTTTCCATAATCAAACAATTATCTTGGCACCTACCCTCCACTTTTGACCTTGCTGTGTCAGATTTAACTGTCAAACATTTTCTGTGCAAAAGATGGAAGATGTCTTTTCCATCTAAGCTACTGAGATCAAAGCTCCCTTATACCAGCACAATAATCGGGATTTCTGCCTACAGCCTGTCCTGCTTGTAACAATCTGCTAGCAAGATTCAGGGTACAGTAGTCAAGAATTCCTCACTGCACACAGTGGCTTCACTCCAAATAACTCAAGAATGTTTGAAGATGCTCTTTGTCTAACAGGTCTTCAGTGTTCAGACTTAAACAATCGCATGCAGCAGTGCCAAAGAACTACTCCACTTCCACTATATTTCCTCAGTAACCAGTGCAAAATACTTAAACACACAGTAGATAGATTTCAGTGTAAGTACATAACATGCGATTAGAAGCACAATTAGTAGTCTTCCCCTGTGCTCCAACTGTATGGCTGCGAGCATGGTGAATCATCTCACTACAGTATAGAACTCTGGCAAATCATTTCGACACACTGCAGCAGTTTCTTGCTGTTGCTTTTAAACAGCCAAAGCTGAGAACTGCTTCCCTATTGAGAGGGCAACAGCTCACACTCTAACACTGTGCTGTCAAGTTGAAATCTGACAAAGTGACACACACACACAAAGAGACATACCCAGGGTGAGAATGTCGGTTCGACCGGGCCGGGCCACGTGGTGCTGCTGGATGGTCTGGTAGAGTGTGGCCTGGCACAGCAGCAGGAAGCCGAGGCTAATCCACATGGCCAACAACCAGGACATGGTAAGGCCGAGTCTGCACACAAGACAGCAGACAACAGGGGACACACAGCAGGAGAACAGCGTTGTATTACAACACGCTTCCATACATATTTACAGCACACACCATGTGTTCCATTCATAGTGCAAAACCAAAAAAACAAAAAGAAAAAAAATACATATCTTCTGAAATACTCTGATGTAAATACTTAGACCAATATGTGTTCTATTGAGATTTATTTACAGGTACAGTATGTGTTTGGGTATAATAACACAAGAAATGAAAAGATACAGAGGGTTAGGTGGTCTAAAACAAACTTATGTCAATATGTCTTGTCCAAACCTGTTGCTGTCTTAAAGGACTTGTACCATGCAAAATTAACAAATAAAATGCAGAAGGAAAACAACCCGCTGCAATCTCTTGGTCAGACTAATGTAATGTTATAATAAACATTAAATATGTCAATCTTCATTAAAACTATTAAAGACAGCACTGAAGACTTGAATTTTCTAAAGACTTATAAAACACTGCATTTCTATGCAGGCAAAGCCTCCTTGCAGATTTGTTCAGCAACTGCCTAATGGCTGGTGAGTACAAGCATATGGAGACACGCCTTAGCCCCTTAGCCCCTCACCGAATAATGAGGCTCTCCTCCTTTCCAGGTGTTATTAGAGCTTCTCTTCAATCAGGACACCACAGAGGGAAAATGAAAAGCCATATCTCCCCTCCTTGTGTAAAACAAACTGAGGCTTGGTGTGTTTAGGCTTCTCAAAATGCACATTTACAGTAGGCTGCATTCATAAATATCATCCAGGTGATGAGTTTTGAGATAAATATTTTTGTTCATATTTCAGTATGAAGCAGACTGAGCACCTGGGAGTCTGTTCAATATGAACTAAGGAAAATTCACATTTAAATAATGTTTAGTCAGAAATGTTTCAAATACCTGATGAAAGTGCCCTGAAGAAGCAGGCCCAGTAAGCCGTTTCCAGCCACAACCAAAGCCACTGCTTGCTTTTTTGATCAGACTAGACCAACTAGTGTTTTTATGTGCGTCTGAAATTAAAGCCCTGAGGCTACTAAATGTTTCCCCTGTGGTCTGTACCCTCGGTGACATTGAGAGTGTTTAATATCCAGCGAAAATTGAGCATATAATTATTAACAGCACATTGTAAATCCTCACCCCTGCACGAAATCCAACATAATCCGGGATTTTGTGGAAATGTGAACTAGCCCCATGGGTCCGTTTTTCTCTTCTTCTTTTAACCGCTCACAGTGTTTATGTCCACCACTGTGGTTTCATATTGAAGAGGATGGTTGCGCTCGCATAGTTGGCTGCATATGGCATAGAGACTCCCCGCTAACCTGCCGGTGATCGGAAGGCAGTATTGCCGAGAACAAAACGTGGTTCTACTGTACTAGCAGCATTTTACCGGAGGTGAACGCACAGACACTGACGTTGTTTTAAAGGAACTTCAGAAGAAAGGAAAGAGGCTTTTAGGGACAAAAGAACCGGAATCTTACTGTTGTAGCTACATTTTCTCAGGGCAAGTAAGCTCTTTAAAATGATATATCTTGCTCTGTACAGTATAGTGCCGCGTAAAGCAGTTCCTCTGCGCGTAATTGGTAAGTCCAGCGTGAGACAGTAAATGCGGTCGAGGAGCAGACAGACTCACCGGCATACTGTATCCTACTGATGCACCTGCCTGCAACACTGAGTTAACAAAATTAGACGTATTTCGTTTCTCGCAGCCTGCTCCTTTTCTGTGGTACTAACTTGAGCGATGAATCCCTGAAACAGTAGGTCTGATTGTCACAAAACAGGACGGAACCTTTCGGGAACATAAGAACGACTTCCATTTTATAAGGCATCTGAACTTTGTGCATTGGATTAGACGCGCTTATAGTATGTGTTTCAAGGTATTGACAACATGTTTGAAATGTATCTAACACCCCGGGCAAAAAGAACACTTGTGTGAGTATAGAGGATGTTTATAGTAGTTTTCCATGTCACTTCTTGAATACATTAAGAGCCAAGACATAGTATCTTTACTCGTCTCACAGACATATACGCGCAGTATTTCTTTATCCCTAGGATACAGCTCGTACAGTCCTAGGAAATTAACCCTGTCCCCAAACAGCAGAGGCATTCCTTGAAAGTCCCACACCCCTACCTGAGCAGTGTGTTCAGAAGGAAAGGAGCTCAGTCAGAATCACTGCCTGCCTGCCCAGGACTCACTCCTCGGTCTTAAATCCATCCATACTTTGAAGCCAGGGATTCCCGCCTGAAATTCCAGTACTCAAATAAGTAGAACACCGCACATATGGGGCTAAAATGCTGTTCTTTTCCTCAGTATCTCCTCCCTGCTGCTCAGTTCCTTTGGAAATCCTTGGCAGCACAAACATTCACCAAAAAACAAAGCAACCAGGGATCAGTGTCACAAACTGGCCAGGATTTGAGGGATGGGAGGCTGTTCATGTCACTGCTGTATCAGCCACATAGGTGCAGATCTTTTTTCCTCTCCTTCCTTCAGTCTGTGTCTCTTCTCTCTCTGTCAGTAGAACTCTGTTGTGATGACAGGGAGCTAATTTACCCCCCTCACTTGTCGTCTCCTTCTCACGCGTGCAGCGGAAGGCTCCAGTGGAAAGACTGCTCTGTCTGCTCTTGGCTGCGTCCCACCATTGAGAAGCTGTGCTGATAGTGTGAGCCTCAGTCCTCTTTCCACCGCACTAAGTAGAGAGTCTGTGTCAGAGAGTCAGAGCGAGCGTGTGAGTGAGCGTGCGTGTTTGTGTGTGTATTACAATGTAGCCCAGCTGGAACGAGAGAGAGAGAGAGAGAGAGAGATGAGTGAGAGTCGGATCACTTCTTAAAGCAAGACTGTCCACTTCTGCATTGGTACTTCAACAGCAAATTAAGCGCGCTTTATTAAGATGACCTTTTTACATCCCGATCCTCCATCCACAACGTCAGCAGACATGATAGTGCAGCTTTCTACTCGCTTTCAGTGTGTCTGAGTGTATGTGCACAAGTGCGTGTGAGAGGGTGTGGAGGGAGGATGACTGAACGTTCCTCTTTTAGTCATCACCCTTCAGCATGCGCGGGGAGGGGGGATCCTTCAAGCACAGCACTTTTAATAGAAGGCACAGTGCCTCATCAGATCTCGATCTCCAATCACCGTGTTATCCATCACGAGCTGGCTGTGCTCCTTCTCCCTGGTTTTTGTAGTAATACGTGTGGATTTGTTTTTATGACCAGCCTCTTTCCCATGTTTAAGCAAACTTGCACCAAAGAGCCTGTGAGCCTCCCTCTGTCACTTAATCATAAACTCAATCTGCGGCTCTGAAGGAGACTTTTGTATGTGCGTGCGTTTGTGTGGGTGTGTGTGTGTGTGTGTGCAGACAGGTGAAAGCGACTAGTCTTGTTTGTCTGGAATATGTTTCCCCTCCAACACATTTCCTTCCATAACTCATTATACTGTTAACCACAAATTTACAGAATATGCCAATCCCACGCACCTGCCACGGTTGACTCACTCACAGTCTGACATTTCACAGAAAATGAACCTTATGCTTCTCACAACAATACACAGCTGAGGAGCTAACTAAGCTGGCAGACAGCACAGATAGTGTTGGTACTGCGGGGGAGTCAGATGAACTTGATGATGAATATCCAGATAAACTTTGTTTCAGAGCTGTTTTCTTTGTATGCTATGAGATGTGTCAATACAGTGCATCCCTGTCTGTGTCAGGGAGCCATTTCTCAAATGGTTAACAAGTCCTTGAATTGCTGGTCACCGTGCCATGCCACAGGGCATCTTGAACCATCTCTGCTGCTGCTATCACCTCTGATTGTTCTTTACACACCACAGTGTGATTTGACAGCCAGATGCATACAGCCACACAGAGCTACAATCGGCAGGGAAGAGAAGGCTGAATGTAGAGAAAAGCAGGGTAACAAAATGGAGGAGAATATGTGTGTGTGTGTGTGTGTGTGTGTGTGTGTTTCTGTTCTGCTTCCTCAAAGTGTGATGTGAGTACCTGAGTGGGTAAAATATTAACTGGTGACAGAGGAGCGGAAACAAGAGCAGTGTGGTAGTCATTCCTGGATTGTGTTTGCCTTTGGACTATAGTTCTGTTATAACCTGACAGGAATGCAGTTATCAGTGGTGAGGCTGTAATCTGGATCTCTGTTGGCTAAAACACGCCGTGTGTTGAGTGACCATACTGAGCAGGAACTGTAGAGTAACTATCACACTGTCAAACTATGAATAAAATAGCTTGAAACCAATTAACTGTTTGCCCTGCGATGGATTGGCGACCTGTCCAGGGTGTACCCCGCCTTCGCCCGATTGCTGGCCGGGATTGGCTCCGGCCCCTCCCCCGTGACCCCGCTCAGGGATTAAGCGGTAGAAAATGAATGAATGAATGAATTAACTGTTTTATTTGGAATAGTGCATATTTATTGATATCTCACTTGTAAGGAGAATGAATGCTTGATTACTGATTTATTTATTTGTTTATTTGTCTTTGGTGTTTAATGTATTTATGATCTGTCCCACTGGTTTGAGATCCATCCATAAGATGAAACACGTCCACTAACAAGTCTTAGAGAAGAACATAAAACTGAGGCATCTGTTTACTCCACTTTGCTTTTAGCAATGTGCACTATCAACACAAGTCAACCATTTGTATCCTAATTTTTTCCCTGTTGTTGATTTGTTACAGTCCCGTATTTTTTATCTTCATCAGTCCGAGCTGTGCTGGGAGAATGGACCGAGACAGCAGAATTTCACTGTAATTCTGGATTGCTGTCG